CGGTGAACACAGAACTGATACAGGCAAAGTTTGAAAATTGAGCGCATTATTTCTTTCTTGGTTTCTAGCCATTAGAAAAATGCAGCAAGTGCATGAATAAATATCCGATGAAGAGAGTATATGCTTGAGAAAGTGGGAAATTGAAATTTGCAGAGTTATTTTGAACTGAGATATGACAATTTTCGTTTTTTCGGGAATTCGGAAATTTTTTTATTTTGGCCTAAAACTTGTTGTAGATCAAACGTTTACGAACTTTTCAATGCTATCTTGTAGAGTTTGCTTTGTTCTATCGAATGGTACCTTGCACTCTGCTGGAGGTTCAAGAAGAACTGATCTATGTTGCTGGAAAGCCAGATATGAAAAGACTTATGGGACAACCTAATAATTAAAATAATTTTTTAAAAATATTTAAAAATTCAAGTTAGCCTTGTAAAAAATTTTTCTCGGCCCGCAAAAATTTTGAGAAGCACCCCTAAAATTTTTTCGGAGTGGTGGCTCACGCCACGCACCTTCATTCGAAAAGAATTTTTGTCGCCCTCCCCCCGAGCGGAAATCCTGGGTACGCCACTGCTATCAGCATGTGCAATGGGTTTGTTTCCGCATGTCCAAATTCGAATATATAGTACAAAGACCAATGCACAAACAAGACAAATTGGAAACCACATCGACCTACATGAGATTGGTGACAGTGTTTTGCTCTTAAAATTTCCTTGTCGGATCAGCTGAAAGAAAGCTGTCTGAATGTGCCTACTTCGTCGGAAGCAAGCCCACCCATCAGCCAAGTCTAATGAACGTGTAAAACAGTCAGGAAAGAGTAATAGCCACAATAAATCACTATCGTTTCTAAGACTCTTTAGCAACAAACAAAGCCTTAGTTTTTCTTCGATAATGCGTACATCAATAAGTTTGTTACGAATTTGTTTTCTAGGGGAAAAAATTCGGTGTCAGTGTGTTGAACGGCGATCATTGCGACTGCGTTTGCGAAACGGATGCTCAGCAAAGTGAACTATGAAATTTGAATAAAGAGTTGGCAATAATGTACTTGAATATACTACTCATCCCATATTTATTCGGCAAACATTATTTCGTTTGCAACAACAATCAAAAGCTGGGAATGCAAAAGCTTTTGTAGTGTTGAAATCTTAAGAAAGCTGTCATATCCAAAATCTTTAGACCTCAGGGGCTATACAATGTACTTGCTTTAGAATACTAAATAAGGCAAACAACAACAATTACAATTAAGGGTATCATGACGCGACATATCAATACATGCTGATAAAAAGCATCTAATACTTATTGTGTTCAAATGTAAATAGTCCCATTTTCAGTGAAAGCGAGCCTGCAGGCAGACGCTTAGCAATAAAATTCCTTTCCGGATTAGAATACAGCAGACTTTGAGAATAAAAAGTTATCTATTATCTATGAAGGATTTAAGGTGTAGGGAGCACAAAGGATGCTGGATAGTTGGAAAGTTATTTGGATAAAGGTCGACATTCGTTGGCGTGAACAAGTTAGTTCTTACCATGTAGCAAAATGTACCTCAAACTAAGCACAGACAATGGTCATTTCTCACCTTATTACTTTTTTACGCCACGACAGGATGACGATAAAAAATCAAGCAAAAAGTTGTTTTGAAAAGTTGCAAACTTTTAGTGTCTATCCTAACAAGCTTTCCGAACCCTTCTAACAGAAACGATTATGGCACCAAAAACTGAGAAGTTTTCAAATTTAAAGGCTCCAAATTATTAAGCGCATCTAGAGAGTGAATGAGATTTTACCATTTCAAAGATATCAGTTTTGAAATTTTGCTGACAATTACAAGCAGACAAAGAGCTGAGGACCGTAGTAATCCCTCTATCAGTTCATATCCTCTAAGGCGGACCTGATTTGATATTACGGGGCCTCAGACCAGCATCAGTGAGCTATTGATATGAATGCTGACTGCTTGACAGACTCGATGCGTGCGCGTTCTCAAGAATTAATAGCGGTACTTTTTGTGCGGTGTGGGAAAAGAAGCGATTGCAATGCATCCGAGCGGCTAGAATCAACCGCTCAGCTAATAGCCGGGGGCAGGCGGCTGTCCGCAAACTCGCGCTATTTTGCAGACGGTCAGCAGAATTTTGGGGAGTGGCTGAATCTTCAGCGAGCGGTACTTCCTTTACTGTTGCATATTCTGCCAGCAGGCAACAATACAGCATTTTCTGCGAACGCTCAGAAAATAATTTCTTTCAGCGAGCGCTGGCTAACGGACTCTTTTGAAGGCAGCGTCCCCTTAAATTCGCGACTTCCATGTTTTTGCCGTTTCGGAGCCTTTTCGTATCCTTGATTCCCAATATCAAGTCGAGAGTTGCACAAAACCCCGAAAATCCCACT